CTGTTCGGAGTTGTTCCTTTGCTGGGGTCAGGGCATAGTCAGTTCCAGTTATTGTTTTGTGCAGCTTTGTTTTTCTCCTGCTTTGTAGTTTATCTGAGGAATTCTCCTCAACTCCCTGCCTCTTTAAAATATATATACTGTATAAATGTCTCTACTAAAGACCCTTTTAAACAAATGGACATGGCAAAGCGTCCTAGCAATAACGGCAAGAAAGCTTGTTTGATACACTGGACAGGTAATGTTTATTTCAAGCTATTTTAAGTTTTAGTCAATAACTTGGATCCGCCCGGGAGCGAAATATTTGACGTGCAACACCTCGAACACGTTTAATTATGGGGTAATAGCAAGCCAGGGCTTCTAAGTAATTAGAAAATACTTCTTGGGAGACAGACTAATCGCTTTTCATGGGGCACTTCAAAAAAATTAACCCTGGTGCTTGTTTAAGCAAAACAACTGTAGGTCATCAAGACCTGATCTGATTGCGGACGATCCAGGAGATTTAATGCGTTCTTTACCTCCAGACCCCCAAAGGCACATTTGAATTGCCCCCCCATCCAAACCAACAGGAACTAAGCCCTTCGCAGTAATGTCAATGTGAGAGTTTGGATGACACAAAAGCAATATGCAAACGAATTCTCTTATAGGTGAGGGACCTGACACAAGCGAGGGACTGACCGTCTCGGTGGTCCTAGGGACCAAAAGGGCAAGGAAAATCTGGGAGTGGGCATCCCAGATTTGTGCCTAGAGGCTGCAGCATTTCGCTTGATACGGATTTCCTTAAAGCAAGACTAGGCTGCGCTTTGGGCAGGCACTGAAGTGACAGACGTGCGTGCGCTTTTGCCCTCCTGGGTTCGAGCCCATCTTGGCACTCTGCATTTGACTCCAGCTGTCGAGCACTAAAGATAGCCCATAATGACCAGTGCTGGGTCTATATAACGTCATCACCTCCCTCACCACGCGTGGGCACCGGGCACTGCTCTGGGTGGGCTTGCTGCGGGGCCTCCGCTGTTGAGAAGTTTAATTAATTTGAGATGGGGTTTTGCTGGCTTCGTTTTAGCCCCAACAGTTGCAGCTCTCTCGCTCTCGCTCCCTCTCCTCCCCCTCCTCTGAGAAAACTGTACCGCAAAGAGCAAGGCAACAGCAAAGTTGGAACCTGGTGGGTAAAGAGAAGACTCAGGAACCAGCGCGGGGGAGGAAGGGAGAATTGTCTTTGGAGCCTCCGGCAACTTTCCTGGTCCCCCAGTTGTCCCTCCCCTTTACCCGCGCGTTCTCTTCCCAGCCTCCCTGCTCTCCTGCCGGCCTCCCAGCTTTTCGGAGCAGGGGAGGGGAAGCATCGTGCGGCGCTCAGGCGCGGGGACTGTCTCTCTTAGCAGCCCCTGGAAGGGCAGGAGCTGTTTCCTGGAGTGTGTGTTTTGGCCCCTCGCCTTCATTTTGTCTTTGGCGCTGCTTGCCCGCCGATCACAGCAGTTTGTTGGCACTGTTACCCATTACTCCCCCTCTGCCATCGTTGTGTGTGTGTGTGTGTGTGTGTGTGTGTGATGTGTGTGATTTTAAAGCGCCACGAACTCGCCTGCTCTTCCTTGACCTTTTGGTGACTTTCACAAATTCACGACCAGCCAAGCAAGCACAGATCGCAGGCTGCAGCCGATTATTTTGGTTTTGTCTGTGGGCGGATTGTTTTAGGGCCGTTCCGTTCCTTGCTGGCCAAAGAAGGAGATTTTTGGTAACACCAACAGGAAGGTAGGGGGGGCCCACTTTGAAAATACACGTGAGACCCCCTTCAAAATTACATAATCCTCCCTTTTCAGTCCAGAGGTACTTTGATCCCAATTTGGGGTTTCAGGGGATTTCTTTCTAAAGACAAAGACAAGCAAGTGGAAGTCGTGGCAGCTTTTCAATACGAAAAATTAGCATGTGATTATTTGAAAGAAAAAAAAACTTCGGGGAGTGAGGGGCAGCATCGCCTCACATAGACCCCCTTCAAAATTACATAATCCTCCCTTTTCAGTCCAGAGGTACTTTGATCCCAATTTGGGGTTTCAGGGGATTTCTTTCTAAAGACAAAGACAAGCAAGTGGAAGTCGTGGCAGCTTTTCAATACGAAAAATTAGCATGTGATTATTTGAAAGAAAAAAAAACTTCGGGGAGTGAGGGGCAGCATCGCCTCACATTGCCTGTCAATGGGAAACCTCTCTGTTTAATATTGTTTCTGAAGCTTGGAATACATGATCAAAGGCTCCTGTCCGGCTTTCCGCGGAATGATTCAATTATCATCCCCACTTACGTTTATTTCCCTGACGCCGCAACTAGCACCACCACCTTGGACGTTTGGGAAACCTTTGAACGCCTCGTCTCCCTGTTATATTTGCACCGTTCTTCTGCGGGTTGTATTTCAGGATCAGGAAAAAAGGGAGGGGAGAAAGTAGGGAGCGTACGGAAGAGTTGTTCTAAAATTAACTGCATTTGATTTGTCCCCTCCCCTTGCAAATAAAGGGGCTGCAGAAAAAAAATCCCTTTGTATCACACAGCACCTCGTTTAATATTATTTATGCATTTGTGCAAGGAATTATGGGATTTCTCCCTTCTCCCTCCCCCTCATAGTAAACAATATGGAAATAAAAAAAATGTATACTAGAGGCTTTTCTAATGAATCAGACAAAGATATAAAGCGAAGGAGATCAGCAGGGCAAGTGGTGATGTATCTATCTGTTGTTTAGGGGGTTAGCTGGTTCTGCATTCTCTCTCCTTTAAAAACACACAGACACTCGAGAAGAGAGGGTACTATTGCTTTAAAAGAAGAGGGAGGGGGCAGATAGAGGGGGAGGGGGGGCTGCTGCTGTCATTTACTAGAGTGCTACTGTATCACGTGTGGAAATGCCTCCTCTGCCATTGGCTGAAGGCACGTGTCTAGGATACCGGGCTTGCAACGTCACTTGAGGGGCTCTATTAAAAATAAGAACAAAAATCCAGAGTGAAAGTATTTCAGGTTCAGTTTAAGTGGCTTCTAAATTTATACCTAAAGTATAGCGAGACCGGGGGAGATTTTTTTCCTCATTCCTGCCATGTAACCTGGAATATTTCATTCAAAGAGGGGGAAAGAGAGACCTGCCTTGATTGTCCATATGTCTCTGTGTGTCTCAAGATGCGTGCGCTGTGCGGTGTGTAGAGAGAAATATGCACCCTCTTCTAGAGTGTCTCTAGCAAAGCAGATGGGGCAGCACTGACATTTTTATTATTATTTTTATTTTTTTCCCCTGGAAGGATCTTCACAATTTTTTTAGGATACTGTTGGCCTCTTTTTTTTCTTTTAAAACCCAGGAGCTGGAGAAGAGAGAACGCGGGGGTGGGGGGTGGTTAATGAAAGTCCTAATGAGGGACACATTTGGGGGGAAAGAATGCATCGGTTTGCAGAACTGACAGGCTAACCCGCGGAAGAGAGGAGAGGAGAGGAAAGCAAAGCGGGGGAGGGGGGGAAGAAGGAGGATTTAAAAACAAGGGTTTGGGGAAAGTTCGACCCCAGCTGAGGCTCTTGATTTCGCAAGCGACGGATTGTGAATGTTCCTGGAACTGAGTGGAGCCAGGAAACAAACCAAGACGCACTGAAACAAAACCCCGCGCACAAAGGGGGTGGGGGGCTTCCAACGAGGAACATTTGGGGATTTGTCATCCAGCATGGAGGAGAATGACCATAGTCCTAGGGCAGAAGCGGCGGAGCAGCAGCAGGAGTCCAGCAGCAGCAGCGAAGCAGAGCCCAACAGGCGGAGGGCGATGATCCTGCCCGTGGTTCTGCAGGCGCCTGGCAATCACCAGCACCCGCACCGGATCACGAACTTTTTCATAGACAACATCCTGCGGCCGGAGTTCGGGCGGAGGAAGGAAGCGGGGACCGGCAGCAGCCAAG